TCGTGTTTTTTTTTTTTTTTCTCTTTCGTTCGAAAGTCAGAGGGCCAGGGAAAGGGGGTAGTATTGCGGTAGTGCGGGCAAAGTTGGAAGGAAAAAAAAAAATGGGAAACAATTATCGTACAGATGATTTCCGGTCACCGATACCGCTCACCACGATTAAAGTACTGTGCTGTGTTGTAAAATTAGTTTGACACCTGTAGCTTTTTTATAATCGTCGTTATTACTATTAATTAAATGAGAAAAATAGCGAATCAGGAGAAGCTTACGCTGTTATGATATACGTAATTGAGACAATGAAGTTATTTATTCTACTGTATTGATAAATGGAAAACGAAATAGAAGGCGATTTACGATATTAGAGGGTGGTATGCTGAAAATTTTGTCCATTCGATCGATTACTTTAAAATGGTGTAAAATATTTTGAAAAACAATGGTTATGTTGTGCATCAAGGCTTTGGTAATGCCAATTATTTTTTTTTTTTCTGAATAAAAAAAAAAAAATCCGATCTAGGAGACCTTATACTTATAATTTATTACATGTATATTTCAGTGATTTGAATTGGTATCTCTGTTATATCATACACATTCTTAACTCAGAGAGTTTCGTGTCTCGAGCTACTTCTTTCGTATGATCAAAGCTGCGAGACTCAATGCTCTGTCGACCAAACCATGTCAGCCAGTGTATAAAAAAGGAAATATTGTCATATTAAATTTGTAATTTTTGAGATTAAAGTAATTGAAAATCCTACCGTATATCTAGATTTGGTAACCTTTGCCTTTGATTCAACACAAATATACGTAAAAGTGCGCTCTTGCGCGCAGCCTTCTTCGCCAGAGAGATTTTTTAACGATACTTTCCCATTTTTTGGTACATTAACGAGCTAATGGACAAAAAGAATTATCCAAAAATAACCGAGCGAGCGTACGTATATACCGAAAGCCGCACGTCGGAAAAATTTTTAATCGACCCGATGGTGTCACCCGGAGCTTTCCACCGCCTACGTCGATAAATCATCTGCAGTGAATATAACATATCGGTGGTTGTAGCAGAGGCAGCCAACCCTCCTATGAAAACCGGATAACACCCCACGGAGATTTTTCACCTAACGCTAAGCCCGTCGCCCTTCTTGTGTTTAACTTAATACTATATACATTTGCGTATCGATAGCAGTTGCGTTCTTATTCAACTTCCCATCGAAAGATCTCATTTTTTTTCGGCAAATTTTAAATAAAATTTATATTTAGTTTAAATCAAGGTTTTTTGATTGTTTTTTTTTTCTAAAATAAGTTGTTAGTTTTTATATTTCACTCGATGATGGCACTGTATAGAGTTAACAAGCGATATCAAAGTCCCAGCGTCTCGTTGACACTCGTCACGAGCGCTAATTGTGCATTAATCAGTCGGCTATCTATGTATGGGTCACTTAATAACGGCATCGAACGTAATACAATGCCGGTCGGGGCGCGGCTGCGCGGGACAAAATAGCCGCTGTGATTTATTACCTTCTCACGCACAGCACTGCTCGTGCGTTTGCTATTGTTTCGGTGGCTCCAAGAATTTTATAATATTATATAATATGTTACCCAATGATGTACGTCGTCGATAATTTTGTTCTAGTCTCTTGAATTTTCGGAATAGTTCAATTACGAATTATTATTTTAACAAAAAAAAAAAAGATGAATAAACAAGCGCAGGTGTGTTATTATTGTGAGAAACATTTTAGATTGTAATTTTAGAAATTGGCGGTGGCTCGAAAAATCTCCGATCCCCGTTCCTTGGTTCTTCGCGTTTGAACATTTTGTGTCCGTACATAACGTGCAATTATCTTGTTTTCTCGAGTAACGACACAGTGAAATCGATGCAATCGTGAATCGGCCATTAAAGTCCACATTGGCGTGCGGCCCGTTATAATTTACGCTCGTCTGGTGCACGTACTTTTGTACACATTAACCCGGTGTACGTGAGAAAAATGTGTCAGCTCCGCCAATCGAGTGTGTAACACGAAAAGTGTGGCTACGTAAGATTTAAACGAGAATCGAGAGTACTAGTAAAGTTGGGGTGTGATATATCTATTGCGAGAAATGAATCAAGAATAAAAATTTTGTATCCATTGAATTGTGAATTGGGAAAAGGAG